ATACACCTTCAAACCTCACTCATTCTGACACAAACACCTTTGACCTTTCACACTCTCAAACTAACTAATGAGCATTCAACCCCATGAATATCAATGAACGACTTTATGAATGACTGAACACATAGTAAATTCCAGAGTACTGTAATTCACTATGCTGTATAATGGATGAAAATGATGATGATGATGGTAATGAAATGATTAGTATATTAGGTCATAAATTATAAATAAATAAATTATAAAGTATGTATTATAATATTAATTTATTCACCCTGTGACATTCTCCCCCTCTTAGAGAAAAATGTCTCCTGACATTTCAAATATGAAACATATCACATCTGAAATAAAATAGATCAGTTAAATTAAAACAATAACGCCTAATTCTTGACACTTGATCCTTGGAAATGTCTTCTCCTGTATACAAGAAGAACTGTAATGCATTATAAACATAAGTTGTAATGCTAATGATCAATCAAAAGAACAAGCATAATCCAACTAAAATCAAATACACTATTCTGAAAAACAATACATGTTAAGTATCATAAAATAAACTAAGTAACTAGTCTAAGCTACAACTAAATCTACTGTCATAAAACTACAATACACAACTACTGTTTATCATACTTTTGATCATCAATAAAATTAATTTAGTAACTCTTCTAAGCAAATTACTAAATGTAAGATCATAAAACTATAATACATATTTCATAACCCTGTGGCATTCTCCCCCTATACATACCAAACCTGAGCACACTGTTCCCCAACTACCCATTCACCGTATTTATCTGGTGCCTTTCGCACCCGAGTAGAGCGTCTCGGTTGTGCGGTAGACAGACTCGTTTCACGTTCACGTGGCTGATTTCGATTAACACTAGTGTAATCTAAGCCAGAAGTTGTGTTAGAGTTATTATCTTGAATATAAGATTCAGGATCAACAGAAAAAAATGAATCTTTCTGTTGCATAGGTCTACTGACATTATTACTAACATTGAAAGTATGATGATTTGGTCTACCATAAACATCATTACTCACATTGAAAGTATGTTGACTTTGACTGTTGACATTATTGCTCACATTGAAAGTATACATTGCCCTAGAACCACTTGATCCCATATGTTCACTTGAACTATTGAGATCAATACTGTGATCTACACCTGAAGTGTTAAATAAGACATTGTTCTTTCTTCTAGAGTTAAATGGTCTTGAGACATATATTTCCTGTTCGGAATCTGATTCACTGGAATCAGACTCTTCTTCACTTACTTCACCTTTCCTCTTCTTACTTTGTCTGGTCTTTCTTTTGATAACTGTTGGGGGTGTCTCTTCAATCTCTTCTTCATCTGCAAGAAACATAAAAGCTAGTAATAAATTTCTGTGCAGTAACCTTGTAGTAATGCTTTCCAAAATCTTAAAGAACCATCTGACTTTCTAGCAAGTACAACATTTGAACAATATGGACTTTTTGATTCTCTTATGGCATTTGCCTCTAACATTTCTTTAAGGTGTTGTCTTACCTCGTCATACATTCCTGGATGTATTCGTCTATAGGGTTCCTTAAATGGAGTATTATCTGACAGGTTAATTTCATGCTCCACTAAGTCTGTTCTACCTATATCTTTTAAAGAAGTAGAAAAAATGTGTTTCCATTTGTTCAAAAATTGGTGACAACTCTCAACTTGATCAGGGGATAATTCGTTTTCATTGATTTTCACCCCTAACTCTAATAGGTCTAATTTTGATGTAATTTTAGAATCATTTGATTTTGAAGGTTTTCAAGCATATACTACTTTTACAGAACTTAATTTACAAATAAGGGACTTTGGTGATACTTTGATTGGTCGCGCTGACATGTTACATACCTTATAGGAATTCGTGAGTTCTTACCATTTTTGACTGAAACCACTCTTGGACATACTAAAAGACTGTTGTTATTTGATTGATTTTCAATCTGTTCTGTAATAGCGGCACTTACCTGCATGCTGTTACAAGACTTGACTATTCCTGAGATAGGTTTTACCTCATAAGGACCTACTGTAATGGAACACTTGTTAGTGGTCTTTACAGGAATATCATTGTTAATACTAAGATTTGCAAATGCTGATTTCCATTCCTCTGGAACATCTCTATGTTCTGAGTTTGCATAATCTTTACACAACCTGATAACGTTCGTACCTACAATAAAAGGAACTTTACTGTTGTATCCAGTTCCTTTTGTGACTAGAGCTAGTACATAAAAAGGATTCAAGGACAAAAATGGAATTTGTAATTCAACTTCAATATATCCTGAAAATGGAAAATTCCCTTCTGCGCTATAAACTTTGAGTTCAAAGTCTTCTATTTTATGCAACTCTGGTTTGTCTTGTAAAGATTGGTAAAAATTTTCAGACATACAAGTGACCATTGATCCAGTATCAATCAAAGCTTTTGTTTCTACACTATTTACAAATATGATACTTTCATTCTGATTTCCAACCATTCTTGAAAACAAATCATTAGATTCAGAGATTGTGTTTCTAATAGGGCTTTTCTGAACCTTGTTTTCCTCCTCCATCTGCCCTTTAATAGAAGAAGTTAGTATTTTTTTGAATTCTGTCCAACTTGGGATGGTTTGTTTTGACTTTGACCTTGGCTTTGACCTTGATTTTGACCTTGACTTTGACCACGACCTCGACCAAAACCTCTGTTTGAGTAATTGAATCTACCCCTTTGTAAATGAACCTCTGTTTGAATAGAAACTTTGTTGTCTCTGTGTATTGCTTTCTAATTCCTAAACTCTTTTGTTCAATTGTTGGAAACTTTTTGCATTACTGTCAATATTCTGTTCTAACCTTTCCATCATCCTTACGATTGTCTGTAATTCTTTCTGTGGGTCTGTCGATGATGTATTATTCTCTGCTCTCTCTGCCTGTTGAAATGCCTGTCTTGCTGACTTTGTTGTTCTAGAACTCCTTTGTGATGTTATCTCCTCTTGCACCTTCCTAATTTCCCTGAGTAAAGATTCAAAATTTTTAATAGAGTCAAACAGATGTCTCGTACTTTGTTTTAAATGTTGACTAAATAAACCTGTCCAAAATTTGCTTCTTAACATCCCATCTCTGGCTTCATTACCAATGTGACCAAATTTGATTGCTTTGGACAATGTGTCTTCTAATCTAGAAGCAAATACAACAATGGATTCCCCCTCTTTTTGACAATCATTGTAAAATGACTGCATAAGCGTCTCGCCTGAGGCTACATTGCCAAAAAATCCATCTAATTTTTTCAAAATGTCTTGAATAAAAGCTTTATCCCCCACTAATACATGTACTAGCATACTTCTAGCTAAACCTTTTAAAGAATTTCTTACGGCTTGAAGTAGAATATGTTCTGGGTACTGATTTGAATTTAGTAACCATCTTACTTCAAAATTCCAAACTTCATACCTAACTTCCCCTTTTTGTGGTTCATCTGTTCCACTAAATGTAGTTTAGGGGTGGGATATTGATTACCTTGTAACATGGAGACATTACCAGGATTCTTGGAATCACTCATTGTATTGAATAGTTTTGACATAGGAGACATATGCACCCAATTTGGACTTTTGAAAGGAGTACTTGTCTTTTGCTCTTGTTTAAGGCTTGCATTTACCAATACTTCATATTCCTCTTTTGTAAGAACCTTATAGTTTGGGTCTTTGTTTACTTCATTTATGTGATCTTTAATAGAAATTTCTTCCCCGTCTGGTTTTCCAGCACCATTACCATTTCCAGTAGCCATAATCAAAGAGTCTGTGAAACTAATGACCACTTATTTTATACAATATACACGTAACAACTGCACAGGTATGTTAATATGATTGGGTCAGTCCCTTCCAATACTGACCTGGCTGCGAAACATGTATATGTATATCTGACAATAAAATCTATGGTACAATTTATATGAAACAGGGATATTCTCTGTGATTGGGTGTGTCCCTACCAACAGAGACGTACCTGCCTCAGAATAATGCACCAATAAAACAAATAACAGTATCTAAGTAAACATTACGATGAATTGATAAAAATGCATTCAATCAGTCTTTTCAGCCATACTCTTCCTAACAAAGAGTCTGGATGAACTCCATCTATGTACAACTGAAAATTGTATGAAATGCGTTGACTCTTGCCTTTTTCTTTTCTGTATTTCAATAAATCAAGCTTAAATCTAGGCCCAGAAACAAGATGAGTAGAATTTACATTCCTGATGTAATCATTCAGGATGCCAATGATTTCATTCAAAGTTTTGTCTTGATCTTTGAAATTTTCAGGATTACTGTGAAATTTTGTTTTATTCCAGTCCACATTGAATATGGAGGAATGTCCAAAAATACAGGTGTAACCTCTTTGAACTGATTGATAAAAGATACAAATAAATCAATATACTGAATGATACTAGTATTTTGGCGCCCCACGTTGAATTCACCCTGTGACATAATTTATATAGCCCCCCTACCACTAGAACCCCTGACCCTGGGGCCATTACATTCAAATGTTTGGAAGAGGCAGTTTTATTCAACATAACTCTGCACTTGGTTAGTTTATTTAATGCCCACAAACAGAAAAGAAGAATTTCAAATTTATGCATTTTCACTATATAATCAATAGAGTCCCGCCCTAGCACTAGAACCCCTGACACTGGTGCCATGAAATTCACAATTTTGGAAAAGGTGGTCATTTTCAACTTACCTATGTACTTGGTTAGTTTATTTAATGCCCAGGAGCAGAAAAAAAGAATTTCAAAAAATAATGCATTTTTTAACCTGTTTAGTCCCGCCCTAGCACTATAACCCCTGAACTTGGGGCCATGAATTTCACATTCTGATAGAGGACTCAATGCTGATTACAATCATACCAACAATTTGACTGCTTGATATCCAGGAGTCAAGAGGAAGATTTTTAAAGATTACACTAGTTTTAGTGGTTTTTGCCCCACCCCCAGGCCCCAGGGTTGGGTGGGGTGGAAGGGACCATGAAATTCACAATTCTTGTTCCCCTTTACCCATAGATGCTATATGCCAAATTTGTTTGAAATTGGTTCAGTGGTTTCAGAGAAGAAGCTTAAAATGTTCAAATGTTAACGCACTACGACCGACGCATGACGGACGAGGACAGACAAAAACGGATATCAATAGGTCACCTGAGTTTAAAACCGTAATACCCACATATCACAACTCCTTCTTGAAGATGGATATAAGACATAGGAACATAGATAGCAACGCATGCAAATATACAAAGAATTTCAATAAATAGAATTGTGATAAATTAATATTTTTCTCATAATTATATACTACACTTCTTTTCTTGTTTAGCAAGGATTTTTTTATTTCTTAGTTTAAGTTTGAGAACATTTGGCATTTAATTTTTTTTAAATAAACTTATGGTAAACTATTTATGAATCTTTATTCTGAAACTTTGTATCGATGTATTTTGTGGATCAGTATTTTTTCTTCTCAAAATATCCCGTATACAGTTTTATATATATATCATATTGGTATTTTAAAGTGGTTACGACTTGCGTGTCTTTTTTTTACAATTGGATATTTTGTGCATGATTTGCGTTTATAAAACATTCCAGTTGTAAACAGGCTAAGTATCATAAGATGTAAATACTCTAACACCTGATGATATAATTTACAAGACAATCAAATTTATCTGTCAATGGTAAAAATAAATTCATAACCCAAATTGAAATATTTTTACTGCCTAAATTCCCTATAACAATTTAATTTCTTTACTTTATAAACTTTAGAGTCCACTGAAAAGACTATCCAGGTTGCTCAGTTAGTAGAGACCATCTCCGTGATTCAAAAAGCGCGGATTCGAACCTCGGCCTTGATTGAACTAATTCGATAAAGGTAAGATTGCAACTGCTCCGTCGCCAAGCACTCTGTATGTTACAGTGCAGAATAAAACTTGTTACTCTTTGTTGGCTCACTGGGTAAAAGTCTTAATTGAAGCCCTTCCCTCATATATAGAGAAGTCTCTGTATACCTAAAAAGAATTTTTCAAATGGGACGAAAAATATCCTTGAATTGATTTATCATTTCACTGAAAAGTCTTGCTATATCTGATACTTATTTTCAAGATAATTGATGGCCATTTTCACTTACATGCATCTTAACATAACGCTTATTAACATGTCAAAGCCAGCACTTGTAGCAAAAAAAATCAATATAAATATTCGTTTATACTTGTACATTAGAGCTGTGTTGACAATATGGCCATGTGCAAAATTATGAATCCTTTAAAATTATGATGATGAGCAGATAAATTTTTTCCAAGGATACACATATAGCTCTAGTATGCTGGCTTCAGCACCATTATACCAAGATAAATTATCAGATCTGATTATCGGTAATTGGGAGTGTATCAAGACACGGAACATTATCTTACTTCATTTTTATATCTAATGACAGCTACAAGTTGGAATTGATCAGTTGCAGCATATAAAGAAAGGAATTTTTTTTATTCTTCTTTAAACAGGAGCTACGGGGGTTGATAAAATAGTACGCGAACTAGTTCAATAACTTCCATAAAAGGAAAATTTGGTGTAAGTGTTGATAATATTCTAAATTAATTCTCCCCGATTTTAATGCACCGTTCTGCTCATGCACGAATTACGTGATATAGTAGCTGCATATTTGTAGCTCTCCGAAAAAATATATTGATACACTGGAGAGCTACAGTGCCTTCCATAGAAAAAAAAATGTATATTTATTGCGCTAGGTTCTTGATCAATTCTTCCTAATTCTTACCTTAATTGCAAAAAATGAAAGATTTCAAAAAGTTTCATTATCCTCAATTAAGTACTATAATCGTAGTTGACATCTGAACGAGGCAAATTGGACCGAATTATCTTTGAAACCAAAATGGCAGTAAAAATAAGCGAAATGTTCGATGATTACAATACCATGGTCAGGAGGACTATTAATAGCAATCATGAGGAATGTTTGGTTGTGGAAACAGCGAAAGAATATGTTAGGAACTCACAGTTAATAATATTTTTATATTACAGTTTTAAAAACATGGAGAAATCAATGAAGAACCGAGCGCACTTTTTGTGCGCAATAAATATACAGTTTTTTCAAAGGGTGGCACTGCTTTCAGGTCTATCAATATATTTTTTTCGGAGAGCTACAAATCTGCAGCTAATGATATAGGCGGTCAAGTGACCTCCTCCGTAGCGTTCTGTCACAAATATGAGTTTTATATTTCTTTCAATATAAGTTAATTTTTATAAAAAGAAGAGTTCATTTGTCAGAAATGGTCAATTCTTAGTAATAGCATAGGTGAATAAGAATATCCTTTCCAAAAATAAGCATGACGACCATCAAAACCCAAATTGTCTGTCTCGGGAGAGTCGTTTATTCAAGGTGAATAGTGAATGGGTTCCTCCTTCGTATCATATCTAATATGTTTAATATCTTAAGTAAACGATATCTTAGGAATTCAATAATTGTATTATTGTTAAAATATTTAACTATTTTAAGTGTACATGTAAATTGGGGGTCTTTGATAGCAAATTACTCTTTTCAAACTTGCTTTCACTGTGCAAAATTAATAACAAGTGTTTGTGTTAACCATCTTCCTTCCTTCACTAAAACGATCAGTCCAATCATTGATTGAATTTACAGGAAGTCATATGTCTAAAAAAAACTATGTGCAGTTTTTAATACGCTACTTTAAAGGCTTTCAGCACGGGATATCATAAATTTTTCAGTCGTTTGTTAAACGAGTACGACAGAGGAAACCATTTTTCGTCACAAGTGACCTACATAGTGACGTCATTTTCAATATGTAACGTCACAATAAAGGAGCAAAACTTTATTCAGCATATGTTATTTATAGAACTTGTGAATGGTTATGCGTGTTCCATTATTTTTCAAATTTGCATTGTGATTTTGTAGATATAGATATAGGTCCCGATTTTTTGATCAGCCTTCGTAGTCACATTTTGTTTTCTGATTAATTTCCTTTAGTTTCAATATATTTCCAATTGTAGATCAATGATTGCGCTAAAGCTACTAAGGCTGCATGATAGATCATAATACATTATTTTTAAATTAAATACAAAACTGCTGCATTAACCAAACTTATTGTAGAAGCGTAGCCAAGAAAATGTATAGCAAAAAAAAAAAAAAAAAAAAACAAGCAAAAAAACAAACAAAAAAAAAACAAAAAACAAAAAAAACAAAAACAAAAAACAAAGCAAATTCAAAGAATTTTGGTCCCTCGCTTTCAGGGTCTTTGTGGGTGAGAAGTTATTTTTTATGACTTGCAGTGTCTAATATAAACATCCTATCATATATCATTTATTTAGAAATTATCATGGAAGTTGATTGTTTTTTTTAAATAAGGTCAATCGTCAAGGTCAAATGTAAGAAATTATAGCATGCTCGGAATATTTTATTTTGTCACAGGTAATGTCCATGTCATATATCAAATCCCTATCTCTTCTCAATATAAGGAAAAGGGTGTGTTTGTAAAACACTGAATACCCCGAATGGCAACATAACGAAGAGTAAACTTTTCTTAGATGCAAATTAAATACATTATTACCCAAGGTAGGGTTTTTCCCACAAAAAATACGATTGTAAAATCAAAATCCCTAGCACAACCTGTTCAAAAGCTAAAGCCGAGGATACATTTTTGAAAGGTACCGTAGGTCAAACTCCAAGCTGAAAGGGTCAACTGAGTTGATGGTTTCTTAAGAAAGGTTTTGTCACAAGTAATACTTATGGGAAGGATGAAAACCCTAACCGTTCAAAAGTTATGACCAAGGTTTAAAGTGTGTTAAAAGTAGGTCAACTCCAAAGTCAAGGTCAAAGAGTTAAGTTGTTGGTATCCAATGAAAGGTCTTGTCACAAGGATTACATATGTGACAGGCACGTAGCAAAAGGGGAGGGGGGGCTGCCCTCCCCCACTTTTTCCCAATAATACTCATACTATAGGAGATCTTCATTGAAAGGTTGAATGCCCCCCCCCCCCCTAACTGTTAGTGATGTATGAAAAACGTGATAAAAAAATCAATTCTAAAAATGGTACTGGAAAGAATTGGCATGGGAAAAAATTGCAATTGAAAAAAGTTGTAGGATCATGGATCTTGTGTACTTTTCTGTATGTGACTGTATTTCATTTATCATCTACAGTATACTTACATATATTTTGTGATATATTGATATACTTATGGTTATTGAATTTGTATGTGTATACCCAGATTGCTTTGTCAATGTCATTGTTCTTATACAAATGAACATAATTTTTTTGTGGGGAGATGTTGTATTAT